ATGCCACTTTGTCTGCAGCGGAGATTGAATCTTAGGTGGTTCCTGTAGTCCGCCTTCTTTCTTGCTGTTTGGAGGCAGTGCTTAAAAGCCTGAATTTAGCCTGAAACTCTCAGACTGAAGAAGTCTCTTGGAGGAGAGACGAAACGTTTCATTAGAGAAGAACCCGTCCAGAGGACCTATACAATTTTTTTCTTTTTAATACAGTATGTGTGACAGCTTTTACCCTCAGCTATTAACAGAAAAGTTGATCAATGACATTTAAAGACCTCAGTTAGTGCTTCTTATTTAACCATAGATTTACCAAGTGCTAATCTGCTAACGGATGTAAACAAATAGCATAAGCCCTAAAGCGCTAACCAGGAAATTATTCCCCTGAATAGTACTGTAAGTGAACTGTGCCCACCACTGGTTACACAGGTAAGTTCTGCATATTTTAACTATTAGCTGACATCTGCTTGAGCTTTATTAGGACTATCCTGCAGTTTAAACTCTGCTAACAATCAGACTTTTGTTTTTTTAGGAAACAACCACATGAAGGAGGAGAACTACAGATGTGCAGTGGAGTGTTACACAAAGGCCATCGATCTGGACCTCAGAAATGCTGTGTATTACTGCAATAGGTATTTAAAACAGGATCTGATTTGGTCCTAATTTGATTGTTTGGTTCTGGTTTGCACATCTGTACAGGAACTGTGTTTTTGGGGGCGTAGTGTCAGATAAATACACACCAGGAGCTTGATTTTAGAAGTAAACAGGAGTTTTGACTGAACTGCTTGCAGAGCTGCAGCTCACAGTAAACTGGGGAATTATACCGAAGCCACGAGCGACTGCGAACGAGCCATTAAGATCGACTCGACCTACAGCAAAGCATACGGGAGGATGGGGTGCGTTTCATCTAACTTGGGCACAGTTTGGATCGGCTTCTGTCTGCAGAGTTGTCAGACATAATTTCCTTTCATTGTTTCTGTGGCTGCAGTTTGGCTTTGACAGCTATGAACAAGTATCCAGAGGCGATCTCCTACTTTGAGAAGGCCCTGGTGCTGGACCCTGAGAACGACACGTACAAATCCAACCTGAAGATTGCAGAGCAGAAACAGAAAGAAGCATCCAGCCCAGTGAGTTCCCACAGGTTTCATGTTTTAAAGGGATCCCCGATTAGTTGTAACATTAGACTTTATATGATAAACATATACTTTAACTGCAAAATAAAGACAGTAAAAATACTGTAGGCTGTTCAGTTTTTATAATTTTTAAACTAAAAGTTTAAAAATATATTACACGGACGGGGCCATTTTATTTACCCGCAAAGCATTCTGGGTAAATGATGACATCAACTAGGTCATCGGTGCGAGGCTGCTAGCGAGCTATATCCACCCTGAAGGTTAATCTTGGACAATATCTGATGATCGACTCTTTTAAATGAAACCAGAGAGCGTTGACAGAGAGGAGAAGGTAGAAATGACTCAGCCTGGAACTGAAAATATGGATGGAGGACAACAGAGCTGCTTCATGGAAGAACAACCTCAGCTTAGCCTGTTAGCTTTAGCGTTAGCCTCGACTCTATCACCATGTATATGTACTAGCTCAGCGCTACACATTCTCCTCTCGTCACTGAGGTCCTCCATCCACATGACAGAGAGGGGAACACAAAAATGACTCAGACTGCAACTGAAAATATGGATGGAGGACCTCAGTTTAGCTTGTTTGTCGCATTAGCACCGAGCTAATACATATAAAGCAATAAAGCGTCGGTGCTAGCGCGAAGGCTAACAGGCTAAGCTGATGTTCTTCTTCCATGAAGCAGCTCTGTTGTCCTCCATCCATATTTTCAGTTCCAGGCTGAGTCATTTCTACCTTCTCCTCTCTGTCAACGCTCTCTGGTTTCATTTAAAAGAGTCGATCATCAGATATTGTCCAAGATTAACCTTCAGGGTGGATATAGCTCGCTAGCAGCCTCGCACCGAGGACCTATCCACGTCATCATTTACCCAGAATGCTTTGTGTGGAAATAAAATTGCTCTGTCCGTGTTAAAGTATATTTAAAAAAATTTACAAAACTAAACAGCCTACAGTATTTTTACAGTCTTTATGTTACAGTTAAAATAAATGTTTATCAAATAAAGTTTAATGTTACAACTAATCGTGGATCCCTTTAATCTTTTTTCTTTGTGCACGTCTAACTTCAAGCTCACAGTTCTTTTCTGTGTATGTTTGTATGTTTCACAGATAGCTGCTGGACTGGGGTTTGACATGGCCAGTTTAATCAACAACCCTGCCTTCATCAGCATGGTAAGAGTCCTGCCGTCATCCCACGACTTCCTGTTAATCATCCGAGTCACTCGGGTCAGAGAAGCCTGATTTGTGAAACACTTACACTGGAAAACAGCTGGACGCTCGAAGAACGCTTTTGCAAACACGCCCGAGCTTTACTGCAGCCGCCACAAGACACTTGTAAATCTGAGCTGCATTCAGAACCCACAGCAAAGACCTATGGGTCGTGTTTCCTCATAAAACTGCCACCAGGATCAGTGATCGCTTGTGCTTTCATAATACCTCAGGGAGAGAGTGGGTTTCAGCTTGATTTTCTGTTTACAGGCTGCGAGTGTGATGCAGAACCAACAGGTCCAGCAGCTGTGAGTGGAATCTGAATTCATGCATAATTACAAGTTGGGACATTGTGCAAAAATGTAAATAAAGGCAGAATGCAACGATTTGCCAAGCTCATAAACTCACCATTTATTCACAATGGAACATAGTGAACACATCAAGTATTTCAGTTAAGAGTTTGTACATAAAACAGGAATTTTGAACTTGATGATAGCAAAACATTAAGAAAATGTTTGGACAGGAGCAACTGTAAGCGCTCCAAACAAGAAACAGGAGGAGCATTTAAGACAAGGGTGTCCAAACATTTTGTCACATGGGCCAAAATCATAAAGTCAGAACGACTCGAGGACCAAAAATATTTTACTTTACATGCTCAACAATAAACTAAGCAATGAATACTTTAATGAAACAAATGAAGTAGTCAGATTAATTGCTGGAAATTGATGTATAAATTAATCTAGATCCAGAACTTTAAAAGTGTTTTGCAGGATTCTAGGTTTCAGTTGGGGAAAAAACAACCCAATTTAGTCGATTCTGATCAATAAAATCAGGATTTAGTTCACTCTTTTGTTGAAAATGCTTGCTGTATTCAGATAAATTTAATAAAAGAATTAAAAGCAGATTTAAGTGCAGCAAAATCAGCTTTTGAGTAGGGCTGTGTATTGGCAAGAATTTGGCGATACGATACATATCATAACACAGGGGTCACGATACGATATATCCCGATATATTGCGATACTGTAAACAAGGCAATATATTGCGATATGCTGTCCAAAAATTCTATTAAATAAAAACCTCTTACTGAAAAAAAAAGAAAAGCTAATGTTTACTTACAATGCTAATGCTACCCTTACTCTCTGGTGCTCAAGAGGTAGAGGAGCCAAATGTCTGGCTCACTGCTGCCAACTAGTGGTCAGAGGCTGAACTACAACATAAAAATGAACGGTTGGCAAGAAGGTTGACATTTTAAACCTTAATAAAAAATCGATACAGGGCTTTAGAATATCGATACAGTATTGGGAAATGAAACATCGTGATATTTCAGTGTATCGATATTTTCTTACACTCCTACTTTTGAGTAGAAGTCACTAGATAAATGTGGAAAAAGCGAAGAGTCTGGTTATTTAAAGACAAATAATTGGTATTGTTGCCAAAATTTTTCATTATAAGATCTTTGTGATAAATTTGCCCTAATAATAAATGGAAAGTCTCCATCTACAGCAAACACCTGTGCCGGGGCGGGGGGGGACAAATTTGTAAACAAATAAGTATAATTCTTGAACTGAAGTCAGGGGTCACAAATGGCCCCCGGGCCATACTTTGGACATCCCTGATTTAAGAGGACTGGGTATGAAAAGAGCACTTTAGAGAAGATAACTGTAAGAAAAACTGCATGTTTAAACCATGGAGCTTAGATTTTTCTGTCCAACAAAATCCAGCAAAGATGATTCAGGAGTGTCGAACAGAATCCTACATCAGACCAGAATCAACATTCCCTCCAAAAACCTCCAGCAATGTCCACAAACTCGTTAAAAGAAGAGGGGATGCTTCACAGTGGGAAACATGGCTCTGTGCAAACTTTTTGTTTAGATGTGTTGCTGACAGAAGATTCTAAATGACCTTAAAAAGGGATCCATGGTTAGTTGTAACATTAGACTGTATTTGATAAACATTTATTTTAACTGTAAAATAAAGACTGTAAAAATACTGTAGGATGTTC